GTACGCTAAGCGTACCAAAACGTACGCCCAGCATACGAGGGGATCCTTTCTGAAAATAAATTATTGTTTCAAGGACTAAAAAGGAAAAATACATGGATCCAAGTGTTACATTCGTGACGTTGCTAAGGCACGTCATGAACTTTTCATGGAAACGGTAAATGCAACGAATGAGTCTCTTGCTCTAAAGGTTACTGAGATAAAATCCTTGATGCCATAAGTAGTCAAGAAGAAGGAACAAGATTACAAGTTGTTGCATGGAAAAGTAGATGTTATTGTTGGTGCTATAACTCGTTTGGTTGAGTTCAACAACGAGTACACTAAACAATTTCAAACTAAGTCTGATTAGGACGAAAAGTTGTTTGAGAAAATGGAGGAATTCCTGTCTGGAATTAAAGAAACTTTATCAAAGGTGGATCTTTCAAATCAATCAACCATCTCTCAAGAATCACTCTTACAGATGGTTTCGAATATTGAGTCGAACATAAAAATTGAGCTCGCTCCAATCCTTAATTTGGTACTTCAATTACTAATCAATGTTCCTCGTGTTGCGCAGGTTTTGCAAAGGGGAAATAAAGGAGTTGGAGGAGCTGGATCCTCAAAATATTCTGGTGGTGATACAGGAGTAGTGGTTGGGAAGGTTATTTCGACTTAGATTCCAACTACAATTCCCATGAAGCCAATTACTATATCTTCAACAACAATGACTACAACAGCAAATGTGCCAAAAGCTCCATTAAAAGGGATTTCGATTAAGGAAAGTGAAGGATGTTCGAGTAATGCTCCTATCAAAACAACTTCAACAACTGATCTGAAAGATAAAGGAAAGGTCATTTTAATTGAGCAATCGGATGAGGAAAAGAAGAAGTTACAAGCAGTAGAGTTAGAACGTCAAAGGCAAATAAATAGCATTCTTCGAAAAAGAGAGAATGACCCATCAAGCTTGAACAAAGGTGTAACATCCATTAAATTTCATAAAAATTTAAACTTTTTCAAACCAACCAAAATTATAATTGTTTACATTGTAGTCTTCAAAACACGTTAACATCAGAGTTTCTCCCAAAATCACAAAACATAACATCAGGAGGTGCACGATCAAGTCTTTTCCTTCCCACGATCCTCTGAGGTACCTGAAATATAACCTAAAACTGTAAGCCCAAAGCTTAGTGAGTTTCCCCAAAATACCACCACAACACATAATCATAGATATTACATCAACAGCATGCATACAGAACCTTCAGCATGTCTGGACCGCCGCACCGGGCCTTCAGCCTGTCTGGACCGTTCTCTGGGCCTTCAGCCTGACTGGTCCGGCTCACAGGCCTTCAAACTATCCGGGCCGCCCTGGGTCTGTTGGCCTTCTGCACACAGCAGGACCGCCTCAACCCAACCAACCATCACATATCCACATATAACATAATCAAACACAGCTAGCATATACAGGCAGTCATACAGGTCTAGCAGATCACTATAGCATAGAAAGCATACAATAAACCAGGATAACAATCCAAATGGCTGACATTGGTGCCTTCGACCCGAGAGTACAGTGAGGACAACTCACCTCACACCGACGAATCGCACTAAAAACCTCCGGCTGCTGGCTCACTAAAATCCTGAACTATCACAACAAATAAACATCCAATTAGTAATTGGATTACCATCCTTGACTAATAACCCATACCTAGGGTAAATGGTCACTTTACCCTTTCCCTAATTGGACCAAGACCCAGGCCTAATTCTTGATCCAAAAGCCCAAGGTTATTCAAGACCCATAATTGGCCTAATTTTCCAAATTGGGCCCAAACTTCTTTTTGGGCCTTATCCTAAGGTCCAACCCTTCACTTGGCCCAAAACAATCTTACTCAGATAGTCCAATAAGGGCCCAAGCATTTAAGCCCAAAAGTTGGCCCAAAATCCAAAGTCCAACAAAAGGCGTACACGGGGCATCCTCCTGAAGTACGTGGGGCGTACACCGAGCCTCGCATTGACCTACAAAGGGGTGGCTGACCAAGTACGCAGGGCGTACTCCCCCTTATGCGGGGCGTATCCTCGTAGATCCAAAAGTCTCATTTTTGTGCTTAATGGCTTAAGCACTTAAGCCCAAACTACAAATCCATGGTCCAAATGCACCCTAGAGTCATAAAAGTCTCCAACTTTATGACTTTACACGTCCAAAAGTTCTTAATACAAGGTCTTAATCCATTAAGACCCTTCTACCAAATGCATGGGACACTTCTAGCCATTGGGACCTCATTTTTATGACTAAGGACCCCTCCAAGGGTCTGAAAGGACGACTCAAAACATCCAGAGCATGCCATGCTCAATATGGAGCATTTAGGACCAAAAAGAAACATAAAAAGACCCAAACATGAGATCTATCAAATAAACCATAAAGGTATGAAATTTATACCCTTAGATGGTGGAGAAGAGAGCCAAACTTCCAGATCCAATCCTTGCTTCAAGCTTCCAAGCTTCTTCATGCACTTCTCCTTCCTCTAAAACACCAAGAACACACTTTAGGGTTCTCAATCTCACTCTAGGAGGCTAGGGTTTTGCAAGAACGGCTCTAAGACTTTGGAGGCTGAAAAGGTGGGGATAAATGAGCCATAAGGATGCTTAAATACCCCACAAACCCTAAAACTTAGGGTTTCCTTCAGACACGAGTACGTCCAACGTACATACATGTACGCCCAACGTACTAGGGTGCACCCTAGTACGCTCAGCGTACCCACATGTACGCTTAGTGTACTCCTCCTGGCCCCAAAATTACAAATTTGCCACTAGGGCTTCCCATGACTACTTCCGTCCAATCCAAGGGCAAAAATAACATACATTAAAAACCAAGGGATGAATTTAGAAATACCTTAATTATCGGGATGTTACAAAATCCAAACAAGCATTGGTGTTATGAAACCATAGAAATTGTTGTTTTAGGGAAGAATGATGAATTTCTCAAAAGAAAGAAGAAGAGTTTGAGACTGAAAATTATGATTTCAATTAACTCGATTTTCCATTCAATCACATGCTTTTCACCTCACCACAATTCAAATTGGCAGATAACTTTAAAGACAAAAATGAATACAAAAGGTTGAAGATTCGCTTTCATGCAATCTTAAAAAAGAATGAACATGAAGTATGGTCTTTGGTGAAGATTGTGAAGGTGATGAAAATCAAAAGGGATACCTTGTTCGAGGGTTTACTTCAGAACTTTCGTTATTTGGTTGTAATAGCAAACAATGTGGAGTTCAAGTTCTCGGTTGTTGATTTTCCTTTGATGAATTTGAATGATCTTATCTCAATCACAAATATATTGATCAATTTGGATGTGTCGAAGATTCCAGAGACGAACCGAAATGACTTTATTCTCGGGTTTGGTCATATTAAGGCTTTTCTGGATAGCTACTATGAATATTTGGCTGTTACAGATAATGATCTTGTCATAGCTATCACGAAGACTGTGAAAGTACCTCAAACTCCGGCGAAGGCAAAACTGAACATCAATGAGTTTGAAGATGGAGAAATCATTCATCATCCTTATGGTGTTGTGTTCCAGAGAAAGAAAAAGAGAGGGAATTTGACCTTTTTGTTTCAAATCTCTGATCTGGAAAAATATACAAATTCCCATTATACAAACATCTTGATTCGAATCAACAATTGCAAGAAGAATGATGATGGAGATAAAGCAGAGATAAGGAAGATTATCTTGTGGTATATGGAAGTTAGAAGAGAGCTTCTACAGACAATGAAGTTGATTGCTTAATATTCGACTTTTCTCACTAAGGGGGAGAATGTTGGGTCGAATGTATATAGTGAGAAGTCGAAAGTAGTTTGTGTATGTAAAGTGTCGAAAGTTGTATAGTTTCGACACTCTATCTATTTACAAGGCAATTCAATTTCAACACTTAATGTCTAGTCCTTGTATTTTTTGCTAGTCTGTTGTAGCCTATAAATAGGGTAAGTACATAGAGTAGAGTAAGGAACAAACTGAGTGTCATATTCTCTTGTACTTGAAATTCTCTCTTATACTCTTCAGACTATAATCGAGCCAAACAGATCTTATTTAGATCTTGTGTCCATTTACAACTTTTATTGAATCAAACGTGTTCTTAATCAATCTCTAACTCACATCAGTCTTGAACATGTATTATGTTTTATGTTTAAGTTTTTTTATGGAGATATTATTATTGTTAATTAATATGCATTGTGATAGTCAATGACTTCCAGCCTAGCTGGGAAGAGACATGGGTTTTATACCCATATGAGGTTAGAGGTTGGGAGTTCGACTCTCACAAGCCCTCTTTAAATTTAATTAAAATGTTTTATCTCCTTATGTGGGGAATTTCTCCCTGGAGGCCCTATGGGGTCGTCTCTGCCCTATTGAATGATTCAATATCGGGGTCTTCGTTGAAATATTACGAAGGGACTTCCGTTGAGACATACCGCCGTTCCAAAAAAAATGCAATGTGATAGCCAAATTATAATTAGTTTCGTATGAAAATTATATACAAAATTTATATTCTCATATATAATCTATAATGTTTTTCATTTTTTTTAATCTTGCGTGACGTACAGGTATACACCTACTATCAATTATAAAAACGATGACTTATAAGAAAACCTTTTAGATTTAATCCCTATTTTAAAAGCCCTATTTTTCGAAAATAAAATTGCAATATGTTTTACCGGTTAAAATCTCATATTTTCTTGAATGTTTCACAAGTTTGGTCTAAAAATGTTATTAACAAAGATATGGCTTTTTTTTATAAATAATTTTTCCTACAATAACATAAGTTGAAAAAAACATAAATATTCACGGACCATTTTTGTAATTTTCTATTTCTAGAGAATTATTGTCATTCCTAATGAATGTTAATCAATAGGGATAATGATTTAAAAGAATACCGTATTTTTCATTTTGCACATATTTAATCACTGAAAAAAAAATTGTCAACATTTACCCATTGAACTTGTTTGAATTGTTCCAAAAACATTATTATGGCCTATTATAATAGGTTTCCAACATATTTGGCAGCTCTAACGATGTTTGCAGCTCCGGCGAGACTCCAGTCATATTCTCCGACGAGTCTCCAGCCAACAATGTTTTTTTCCGGTGAAATTTCTTCAGCCAATATGATTTTTCCGACGACATTGTTCTTCATCTCCAAATTTTTAGAACCTTGGCCGACCTCCTCACCTTCCCCTGTTGCACCTCTCGACCCCCTAGAGCACCACCCATCTCGTACCCTAACATTGATCTGCAAACCCTAACACCTCTGGTTTAGATCTAGGTCGAGAGAGAAAGGGATAGTGGATGTGGGTTGTGATGGTGGTGGTGGTTGCTTTAAACCAAGGTGGTGAAGCGTCGATGGTGGTTGTTGTGAGCATGCATAATGGCTGCGATGGATAAAACGTCAGAAGTTAGCTAACCTAACCTGGTGGCGGAGTAGTCTTCAGATTTAATGGTAATGGTAGTGATCAGTGTTGTGGTGACGTTGGTAACTATGCGTTGGTTAGTGTGGTGCTAGACGAAAAAGGGGCGGTGGAGGTAAGGAAATCTAGAGGCTGAAGGAAATGGATGTACAGCGGAGAAGGAAGAGTAGCACCCAGTTATGGATGGTTTAAGGCAGAATGGTGCGCTGGGGGGGGGGGGGCGACGATGATGCCAACCACAGTGCAATGAATGTCGGAAACCAGCTAAACCCACACAAATCGGGTCATAAGGGTAAGATATGGACAAAAAACTAATTTAACGGGTAATGTGGATTAAAAAAATTCACTGACTAAATATGTAAAAAACGAAAAATATATTACCCTCATAAGTCATCATCCCTAATCAATAGTAGGATACCATAGCAATAACAAACCTTGTAAAGTTAATAGGTTCAAATCATGATGAAATCTTTGAATGTTACCATTCATTACATATGCAACTAATGACAAATAAAAGAATGATGAAATAAATCCCAGATCACTAAAACACCAACATCTGGAAAATCTTTCCAAAAACAATACAGGTTAAAGATTTTTGTATCAACAAGCCTGCAATTACACTCCAATAACACATTAAACTAACATAAAAAACAAAATCACATCAATACCATCATCATCATCACCACCGCCGCTACCCATCCACAGCCACCGGAAAACACCACCGATGTCGCCGGAGAAGTATCTTGTGGCCTGAAAATTACAACCAATATCTGTTGTTTAGAAATCTAAATGCTAAAAAATAAGAAAACAAGTGACAATAAAAAAAAGCAGTGTATACATACGTCTGCATACGGCTAAGGGCACCACAGAAAAGAGCATTGTCCGGCATTGGCAATTCCGTTTTGTTGTTTATCTCCGGATTCACGATTCTGATGTAAGTTTCTTGACCAAGATACCAGGAATCAAGATTTTCAGTTCTCAGATTCCAAACTCCTACATTGTCTAGAGAGATCAACACTGCTGTCCATGCTCCAGGATACACCTAGTTTTCAAATGGTGAGAATCAAATTACCAAATTGTTATTAAAATTTATCAAATTGAAAAATCCGTATCCGAAATGATGATTCTTGAAACTTGTATGAACAAAGTTGGAAGATTTATTTAAGTAATTGGAAAACCCACATCTGAAACGATGAATCTTGAAAGGTTTATGAACAAAGTTGGAAGATTTATTGAAGTAATTCAAAAAACCAAATCTTGAAACTATGATTCTTGAAAACGTTTATGAACAAAGTTTGGAAGATTTATTGAAGTAATTCACGAACCCACATCCAAAAACAATGATTCTTGAAAAGTTCATGAACAAAGTTGGAAGATTTATTAAGTAATGCAAAAACCCACATCCCAAACAATGATTCTTTAAAGTTTTAAGGACAAAGTTTGAAGATTTATTAATTTTAAAGTAACAGAAAAGAAGAACAAGACATTTAAGAAGTACCTGTGTAGTGCTACGAGCAATGCCATCCCATTTATTGTAAGTCCCTCTACTGTCATTAGTCCACTCACCATAACCCATTCTGAAGATCAAATCACAAGTTTAAAAAAAAAAAAAAAAAGTTAGAACTATAAAAAATCAATGAAACAAACGCATAGCAATGGAGAAGAATTCCACATACCCAACTACAAAAAAGGCGTATCCATCAACATGATAGCTATGCATTTTGGTTTCATTGTTTTGAAAAATAACTTCCATGAATCCTCTATAAGTTCCATTGATAACCGATGTTTCCATCTTAGGTGGCCCAGTAAGGGGCGTAGTAGGAAAATCGAGCTTATATGCTCCTTTCACTTTGTACTGATCCGCAAGCCTGATAGGTGTGGTAGGATTCACAAATGAAATCCCACTAAGTGTAGCTCTTGTTTTCCCATTAATTGTAACCCAAGGCGTGTTTTTTATTAAGTACACTTCAGTCACATTAATAGAACCGTATCTAAACGAACCCTGTGGATTAGGGCGGGCCCCACTAGCCGATACATTCCACCTAAAAGTCAATTCCATCATAAAGATTGTGTCAAATCACCAAGACCAAAACAAAACAAGACAAAACAAGACAGAACAGACTGTACTGCATTTGACATTGGACTGGGACTAGGACTAGGACTGATAAGTACGAATGTGTCAAATCATAAGGCCCCCACCAGAACAAGACAGCAGATTGTACTGTGTCTGACATGCATTGAACAGTGACTGTGACTGTGACTAGGACTGATGTCAGTGGGACAAAAATTATAATTTTCTTACCTGATGGACCTGGCTTGGTTCATCGAGAAGGTATTATCAAATTGATCTTGAGGAGGATCCGGAAGGGGACCGGAGGCTTTTCCTTTAGAATTTGAGTAATGCAAGATTCCAACACCAGTGACTCTTTGCCATGTAGATTCATTTACAAATCTAGCACTAGCCACAATGTAGTAATCACTACTTGCATTTTGATCCATGGTGATTAAGAAGGAGTAGGATTGTCCCACATGAATATCTAAACTAGTATAGTTTTGTTGGACTGTGTATGAACCCTCGGTTTCAGCCAAAAGTAAGTTATGGTTCTGAATTCTGAAGTTCAAACTAGTCGATACACCAACATTACTTACACGAATACGGTAAGTTTTGCCTGCCAAAAGTTGTATAATTTAAATTTATAATAACAAAAAGTATGATATTAATTATAAAATTGATAAATTGATAAATTTATCAATTAATCACCTGGTTCAACGTTAATGGTTTCGTGATCAATGTTATCTGGGACAAGAGTATCGTTATATCTGTAAGGTCCTTTTCCATTAATAAGAACACCATCAGGCATTCCAAGAGCTTTGCCAGCATCAAGGGTCTTTCTTAAATCCTGCAAAATGAAAAAGGGAGGATGAAAGGTTAGAGAAATGATAAATCTAGAACAGCTACAAGAAAAAATGGAAAGAATTTTCAGTGTGGCATTTTGTCGAACACTTACAGTGTGGTTTCTTATGTACCAGTCACCAATCAAGACAATAATATCCCCAGCTGGATTATCAAATGGGGTTGGGATTACAGATCTTGGGTTAATAATAAAGCCACCAAAACCACCGGAAGCTCTTTGAAAATTGAGTGAGGGGAAGTAAAAGTAGCTGCCGATTTGATCCTTGACTTGAAAGTTATAAGTCCAGTTCCACTTTGGGGGAATTGGACAATTAGTGCCAAGGACGCCATCTTGCCATGAACTCCTCTTTTGCTGTATACCAGCCCTGTTTCAATCAAACACGTAATCCGATTCAATCGTATATCCACTGTTTTTATGAACATAACAGATCCAACATTCCGACCACAGATTTGTGATATGAAACGCGATGAAGAAGATCTTACCAAGTGATGAGGAGATTTTCATCTAACTTGTTCCTCACATTGACAACAACATTGTTGTTAGTAGTTGAATTTATGGTAGGGCCAGGAAATTTGCCATTAATGGCGATAACCTAAAAATCCAGATTCAAAGCAATGCAGGTTAAGATTTAAGGACATCATTTAAATAAGTCAAAATACAAGAGCGTACAGTCTCACTGTAACAGCTCATTTCTGTTTAAACCTAAAAACATTTCCCAGATCTGAAGCTAAAAAGCACCAAGTTCTGGAAATCGGAACAAACCCATCAATCTATGACAGGAATTTAGCATAACCCACATGCGACTGATTCTCAAAAATTAAAAGCACCCCATTTTTAAAGACATTAAGCAAAACCCACTTGGGAAAACACTGGTAATTCAGAACCCATCATTCAATTCTCGAAATTTAGCAAACCCATGTCGGGAAACCCGAGAAATTTCAGTTATGTAGCAAATTAACGAAGGTTTACCTGTTGCGGGACTCCAAGAGGTGAAGCGGTAATGTAAGTATATTCAAATTTGTAGGAAACAGTAGGATCTTCAGCTAAAGCGAAGCTCAGAAACAAGGAAATGCAGACGAAAAGGAGAGAGTAGCGAAAGGTAGAAGAAGAAGCCATGAATGGGAAAACTTTTGAGGGTATAAATCTTTGCTCTCAATGAGAAAATTTTGGAATCAAAAGAATGGCGTAGCTTTTTCAGGGAGTTTACATTATCAATCGGGTAGAGAGAGAGAGAGAGAGAGAGAGAGAGAGAGAGAAAATAGTGTTTGTGAAATGGAGAAATGTGAGATAGAGAGAGAAGGTGAGACAGTTTCCTTTTTTCTGTTTTTGAGGAGGAAGGGGGTGGGGAGTGGGGACAAATAGCAAGAAAGTTAAAGAAATGGGTTGGATTGGCAGCGAAAATTGATCTCAAGCATTTGCTGGTCTTTGCTGGCATATCATCATCATATGAAGTATGAACATGCATGGAAATGAATTGGATGGGTATGAACAAAAGAGGGGTAGGCAAGAAATGGCCATGGCAAAGCCAATACTTGTCCTTCCAAATTCAAATGGTAGGCCATAATGCTCTTATCAATTTGTCATAACCAAATCAACTAATGTATTTGATGTAAATTTATTTAACCAAAACTGAAAACGTTTAATTACTAATCTAGCTGCTATAACTAACCTTTTTGCCACAAAATAGTTAGAATGCTCATTTATGCTTAGGCTAAACGGTATGTTATATTTTTTACTAGCGGTATGCATACATGGAGCATATTACCGTCAGTGAACACTGTCTCTCGATTACTATATTATCGGTGGTAATATACCGATGGTGAGGTTTCATCGATGAAATAGAAAAGTTTTGCCGTTGAAAATATTCCTCAATTTGGCTTAGACTGCATTAGAACTTGTATTTTGATGCATTAAGCAAATACTCAAAAATGGTAGTAAATGGTTATGATTTGGAAACAATTTTATAGACAAAAATAGAAAAAACGATAAAATTGGTCATTGTGGTTTGTAAAAAACTTTGGATAAGATCCAAAAAGGTTTTAACTTGTATTGAAGGTCCAAAATCCAGAAAATCCCGTGATTTTAGTCCAAAAAAACGGTTATACATTTATTTATTTACTTTTATGTTTTTTTTATATTTTATTAACATTTCAATAATAATAATAAAAAGAAAATGGGTAAAACTTTATCTCTCTCTCTCTCTCTCTATATATATATATATATATATATATATATATATATATATATATATATATATATATATATATATAGGAGGGTTCAATTGAGAAAAAAAAAGGTTGAGAATGGGGGATTCATTCTCAGCCAATCATTTAATTAGCATCTTAACATAAAATACACGGTGACAAAATTGTAAATATGATATGATATCCTTCAATCACAGATACATAATTGTGGATAATTTGATAACAATTCAAATTCATTACTACTCGATCGTTCATCATCCAAATTTCTTCTCCAACCTTCAACGATCATCCAAATTTCTTCAATTAAATCCTCGATCAACATCATCCAGTGTTAATCAATCATCCATCTTCGTCAAAAACACGTTCATCAACATCATTCAACAGTAGACAAAAAAAATTATTTTTGGTTCTTTCAATCCAACCTTCAATTATGCTTGAATTCGAGCATATCTTCAACATCTACGATTAATTATACTCCCAGTGTTATTAGATCAACATCATCGATAATCAACAACAATTTTCACTTCATATCATTCATTCAACATCGATCATCAAACAAAACTTCGAAATTAAGGTTAGAAAAACATCAAATCATTTTTTTTTGAAAAATTTCATATAATTCTCTATCAATCTACTATTTTGTAAGTTTTAAATAGTCAAAGTATCATGTTTTTAGCATTTTTAAAAAAGCTTACTTGAATGCACTCCAACTGTTTGATGAAATGCATAAACTAAATTACCACGTTATATTCACATATGAATATGTTTTCGCACCTTAATTAGTATATGATTATTAAAGCACAAAACAAATATACAATATTCATAAGTGAATATATCATCTAATACTTACAAGTGAAAATACTATGTAATCTTCACAAGTGAATGCATCGTTTAATATTTAAATATGAATATATTGTATCATATTCACAAGTGTATATATTATATATTATTCATATGTGAATATACTGTGTAATATTCATGAATGAATATACCATGCAATATTTAGATGTGACTAGAATGTGTAATATTCACAAGTAAATATACCATATACTATTCACATGTGAATCTACCATATAATATTCATATGTGAATATACTATGTAATATTCATTTGTGAATATACCATGTAATATTACATGTAAATATACAATATAAACAACATATATCATATAATATTTACATATGATTATACATTTTTATGTGAATATACCATGTGATAATTAGAATGTGATAAATCGCTATTATTATGAACTAAAAGTATATTTTTAACATTTTTTATGTGTATTCACATGTTTTCCAGGTATCGTTATAACTCAATAAAAGAATAACATTTCAATCAATGGTTGGTTCATATCCCGGTGGTTGACGATTGGTTGACATAATTGAGAATATATCATTGACGAAGACAATATGTTTTTATATTCACGTGTAAATGTTATACAATTTAATATATTTTTCATTTTGATCGTGTTAAATTCAAATGCAAATGATATTCATTAACCAATACAATGTTGTTTGTCTTAGTATAATGTTGATTTTACATGTAAAATAATATTGTTACAATATACAAAAAAACTATTCACAAACCAATTCTTATAGTGTATTATTTATTTTTATATATAAAGGTTGTATTCACAAAATAAATAAATCAACATGCATAGTTTATTCACATAAATAAAAATAACAGATTACAATGATGTTTTTACTAGTGGGATTGAAGTTAGTAACATCATCAGTAAATATGTCGTAATGATTTCTAAACTTTATTCATATATGAATAAATAGCATGTCATGATGATGTCATCACTAGTAGGAATGAAAATTTAGTGACATCATCAAAACAATTTGCCGCAATGAAGTTTAGTCTCGGAATTGGACGAAATTCGCATATTTGATGTAAAATGGTGCGATTTACAAAACTCACAGCTTCGCCGTGACGTACGGTGTTTTTCGGCCATTCGGGACTGTTTAAGGCCTCAAAATGACGTTTTTCTATTTTTATAATTTTCCGAAAAAAAAGTTATCATTTATTCACAAATGAATATAACATTAATAAAAATATATATGCTTATATAATTATTTTATTAACCTAAAAAGATTAGTTGCATGTGAATAAATATATATTTTTATCAAATACTTTTTTTATCTTTAATTTTATATGTTTTGTAGTCCTCGGTTTTATTGACAGTTTTATTCATTTGTGAATAATACATATATATTCATATTTGATTATTACATATATATTTATTTGTGAATATTACATATGTTCACATGCGGATATAATTCTTATATGTTATTCACATATGAATTACAAACTTGCTTAGGACCTCAAAACAATATTTTTTTTCCGAAAAAAATACATTATCACTTATGAATAAAAAGTATGATTAATTTTTTTTATAATTTAAGTATCATTCATATATGAATATAAACATATAATAAACATAGTATATTCATATTTAAATATTAGACGATGCATTCAATTGTGAATATTACATAGTATATTCACTTGTGAATATTAGATGGTATATTCACTTATGAATATTATATGATATTTTCATATGTGAATATTACATAGTATTACATGGTATATCACATGTGAATTTTACATAGTATATTCACTTGTGAATATAAGATGATATATTCACTTATGAATATTACACAGTATATTCACATATGAATATTACAATGTGTTTTCGCAAATATATATAATTTTTATACGTTATTCACATAGAAATAACATACAGACTTGTATATTTGTTTTTTGTTTTAATAATCATATACTGATTCAGGTCAGAAAACATATTCATATGTGAATATAACGTGGTAATTTAGTTTATGCATTTCATAAAACAGTTGGAGTGCATACAAGTTAACTTTTTTAAAAATGTTAAAAACATGATACTTCCAATTCAAGTTATCAACTCCAAATCATCATATACTTTCGATTTCGACTTTGAAGCGTGCAATTCCGATTTTCATTTCATTCCAAAAAAAAATTCCGATTTCAATTTTGAAACCTTGAAATCCCGATTCCAGATTTCTTTGTAATATTGATAATCAAGCCGCGAACTGTTCCGATTAGAATATATGTTCCAATTTCAAAAGCTTCCGACTTCAGATGCGACATCCTATGTCTGATCGATTTCACATTTTGATTTTGATTTCCGAAAATCCGATTAGGAACCTGTGAGTACCGATTCCGAGTCCTTCAATGTTGATTGTGACTGCGAGTCCAGAACTCCAATTCCAATTTCATGAACAACAAAGAAATTCTGATTCCAACTGAGTTCGTTTGCGAATCTGGGAAATTCAAATTCGGAGTATTCAACAAAGAAATCGATGTTACGTATTTGAGATTGAAGGTTATTATCATATTTACAAGTTTGACATCGTGTCTTTTATGCTTAGATTAAATGAGTGACTGAGAATGATTCCCCCATTCTCAACATTTTTTATTTTCTCAATTGAACTTACCTATATATATATATATATATATATATATATATATATATATATATATATATATATATATATATATATATATATATATATATATATATATATATATATATATCATAGTGTATTTTCACCAGATAAGTCCCTAGTTTATAAATTAAAATTTTGTAATTTGAATGAATTTGGGTTATGAAATTTTATTGTTTTGAAATTTAGGTTCTGCCCTTTATTTGGAAGTATGAAATTGTGAATTGATTTTATTTTTAATATGAATACGAACCTCCCTTGTGTTGGGTTATGATTTGGTTTTAACTATTTATATTTAAACAATAAAATTGATATTTACAAGTAAAGTTGCTTTTCAAAGTTGAAAGTATATGCACTACAAAAACCGTTGTATTTAAAAAAAGTGAACATATATATAGTTTAAATTTTATATTGGAAATGATAAATATTGTGCGAAAGTACGAAGGAATCCGTAATATAGGATTGTAATAACCAATGGTTCTTATTATAATACAAATAATATTTTTATCCAGAAGTACATCTATTTACTTAG